GGATCCTCTGTACATATGCTCAATCATCATCAAACACGTGACACGAGAGTTGTTGTGGTGTGATTGTATATACACGTTTATTGTGACCATGAATGCTTAACGTCTGACCCTCAAGAATGCTTTAACGTCTGACCCTGTTCTGTGCCATTTCGACGAGAACGCACCTACATGTCTGAACACCGACGCGAGTGGCCATGGCATTGGTACGGTTCTTCTACAGCAGGAGGCCACTTCACGGGAAAGAGTTATAGCGTATGCTAGTCGTGTTCTTACGCCTGCTGAACAGAAATACTCCATAACTGAGCAGGAGTGCCTCGCTGTCGTTTGAGCCATACAAAAATTTGGACCGTATCTTTACGGTCGCCACTTCACAGTGATTACAGACCACAACGCCTTGCGCTGGTTATCGACACTGAGAAACTTGTCTGGTCGCCTCGGTTGTTGAGAGCTCCGCCTGCAAGAGTACGACTTTGACGTATCTATAAGTCTGGAAAAAGACACCGAGATGCAGATGCTCTCTCTCGCTGCCCGCTTCCACTATCATCGTCAAGTACGTCAGCTCATATCTCGTCTGGTGGGCAAGGCACTGCGTCATCCCTCACAGTATCACACCTTGCGGTTATCGAAACGCCGGCTTCAAATTGCTACACCTAGTTCACCACACGCCAGCGTTATGAGGCATATTGCAATCGCATTATCCAACGCCTAAATGGCATATCACCTACTCCGAATTCTAGATGCGCTGACAACTACGGCAATTTAAGCTCGATAACAATGTGCTCCATCGTTACGTTTACACTACTGATGGACACCGCTGGGTTCCAGTACTTCTGCGTTCTCTACGTCATCAAGTCCTCGAAGCCTTTCACGACGACCCATGTGCAGGCCACTTGGGGTTTCACAAAACACAAAGCCACATCAGAAACCGTTTCTTCTGGACGGGCATCTGTACCTTTGTGGCCAAGTACGTTGCATCTTGCCATCTGTGCCAACGGCGGAAGCGACCAAGTTGGTCTCCTGCTGGCCGTCTGCAACCAATCCCGTGTCCCGAGACTCCTTTTGCCATCGTTGTCATAGACCTACTCGGGCCTCTCCCAATCACGCTAGCAGGTAATCGTTGGATTGTGACTGCTGTCGACCACCTGACAAGGTACGCAGAGACTGCTGCACTACGCATAAGTTCTGCTTCAGACGTCGCAGACTTCTTCTTGAACGCCATTGCATTGCGTCTCGGTGCACCTCGCGTTCTCCTGAGTGATCGCGGCAAGACATTTCTGTCCACCATAATCGAAACCCTGCTCACAACCTGCGGTACAGTACATAAGACGACGTCAGCCTACCACCCCCAAACTAATGGGCTGACAGAGAGGTTTCATCGGACACTAACAGACATTCTGTCGATGTACATCGCACCAAACCACGACAACTGGGATACCATTTTGCCTTTTGTGACGCTTGCCCATAACACCGCTGTTCAAAGAACTACTGGCTACTCACCTTTCTACCTCGTGTACGGCCGTTCACCGACATTCACCATCGACGTCTCTTTCCTAAATGTGCCAACCGACGCCTCGGCAACCGTATCAGAGCAGTTCATCACAAGGCTCAAAGAATGTCGGCAACGGGCTCGCCTCAATACAGAAGCCAATCAGCAAGACCACAAGCAACGCTACGACAGCTCTCATCGCGACGTCTCCTTCAGTCCGGGGGATGAAGTGTTGCTTTGGACACCCACTCGTACTACAGGATTGTGTGACAAGTTTCAGTCACGCTTCATTGGGCCCTATACAATCAATGAACAAACGTTCCCAGTGAACTGTCGTGTCACTCCCACCGACTTTTCTTCGGATCATCGCTGTCGTGGTTCGGAGATTGTCCACGTATCACGTCTGAAGCCATCCGTTCGACGTTCCGTTTCCGTCAAAGACGCGTCCGGGCTGGCTGCTCACGCGTGGGGGGGAAGTGCGAGCATTATTCATACGCGTCTCTTACCATATGTACATACTCATCATCATCAGTCTGACCTGTGTTGTGGGTCAGACTGATCATTTGTGGACACTGATCATTAGTGTGTTGACTGATTATTAGTGTGGTGAGACAGATCAGTAGTAGACACCTAGTCGACCATTCATTTTTATTTATAATGCTTGATTGTTGCAGCTGGTCATAATGATAGAGGAAGTTTGGAGAAAACACAAGAACAAACAAAACATAAATGATGTTTGTCTTGTCTCGTTCGTGTCTATGCGGACACGAGACGTGAAAAACACCATTTGTGTTTTATTTTTTGCCATGTTTGCGTTTGCACCGCACCTTTTTTATCTATATGACCAGCTGCACCAATCAAGCATTGTAAGTAAAAACGAACGTTCACGCGTGCATTAATGCTCGCTGATTTACCAAATCGATATCTGGTGGAGTTTGCACATCAATTCCTCCGAGAACTTACCAACTGTAGTAAGACTTGCATGCTTCCGCACTTTTTTCATTTATTTGTTGATACGAAAGATCATGTTTCTATGCATTGGAAACTGCTACATTGCATCTGCCATCAATTCAAACTCGTCGTGACTCATGCCATCACATTTTCTTTTTTCTTTAAAACTGAGCTTTTGTGTGTTTACATAATAGTCTTGAAACACCTGCTTCATTTCTAATAACTGAAAAGCAGAAGTCTGTCAATCTTATGAAACTGGTGATGTCTTGCAAGTGCACTGTATAGTTCCCCGAGGCACCATGAGGACGCACCCTAGCTGCATGTCTCCAAGATGTAACGATTTGGCCGCCGACTTTCTGCCTACTCGTAGCGTCCGTCATGTGTGTGTCCCATCTGTGACCGTCCTGTATGTATTAAATTTGTATCCGTCCGGTATGTCTTCCAACTCTCATAATTTTGCCACCATGTTTACGTATACTCAAGTGTGTGTATTGTATGTGTCCTATAAGTAGCCCACCTTTATGCAGACCAGAAATTAGGCCCGTTGATAACCTGTATGGTGCCACGTAATGGAGGCTGTTATAAGTGCAATGCATATCAACAAGCATGTGAAACTGCAAAATTATTTATTATTTTTATCTACACTGTACAGTTTAGAGAATTTTACAGACAGCATTTGAACAGGTAATGTACATCAGCTGGTGGTTGAAGACAAATAAGGTTACCAGATCAGCCTTAACCCAATGAAGCTTGAAGTTATCATTATCAATATAAAAGTTTTTACTTTTTCCGCATTTTTCTGGGTATATGAGAGTACATTCATTTTTCAAAAACACAAAAACAAATAATGTACGCAAAAAACTCATCACTAAAGTAATTTATGACCAGAAGGCTCTTTTTACGGCATTTGAAACACTATGGAGAGTATACTTATTTTTGCAATCCCTAATTAACCTTCTGCTGTATAATATGTAAAGTACATGACAGTGATTTGTAGGTCTTTATGGGTTAAAAAACAAATGTATGCAGCCTTACAGAGCCACCTTTGCAGATAGCTATGTGTTTAGGGGGACACATTATGCAACAATAATTATTGGTGTCAGCCGGGCCATAGAACAAGATTCAATATTGAACCTATTAAAACTGCAGCAGACCCCTATTGATGTAACAAAAATTTAGCCAAGGCACATTTATACATAGCTACAAAGAATTCTTTCATATCTCTGCTTAGATTTCCTGCAAGAAGGTTTAGTTGTGGCTTGCATCATTGTGCATGCAGGACAGTGAGCACTAGTACACAGCTACTACTCCTTGATGGGCCGCATATAATTTGACCATGGGTCGAAGCCATTGGCAAACATATTTGTTAGTTTTTTACCAACGGCTGGATAGCTAGCAGTGACTGCTCGTTCCACCAAGAAGTAATATTTTCCTGATCCTCACTGCCTTGCATGTGTAATCATGGAAAGCACAAATATACTACGAAGCGGGATACCTCGGTTCATAGACATGTTCGAAGAATTTTCGGGGATTGTTTAGAAACACGACTGCCACAAACGTTTCTACGCAAAAATACGCACCTATAGTAGCCACGAAAATTTTGTTATTCTTAGTTTATTAGGCAGCTCGCAGCATTAGAGTCTTCCTTCGTGTCCTCCTGGACACGAAGTATATCTGCAAAAGTGGTTTTCTGTTGTTTGGGCTGAATTTTTATGCAAGCAAAAAGCACATCTCTGAAAGTGTCAGCGCTGCTTCCTAAGTTTTTTATAGCATATATTTCTTTTTTGAAAATCTACTTAGTGAGGTGGGCTCAAGACTAGTATTTATTTACTTAAGAGTACTGAACGCTGGGCGAGTTGGTTAGTATTTATTGTTTTATTGTTGTGTCATGTGCAATTAGTCCCTTTTGAAATTGAACGTTTTGCATTGTGATAGGGCGATAGTAGCTCAATGATTTTATTTTCATTTTAGCCCTTTCGAACGCCACTCGCTATTTCCATCTGAAAATTTTTTTTTGTGTTTCAACTTTCTATATTTGACCAAATAAGATGAACTGACAGGCTTCCGACAAAAGTACAAGCGCAGTTTATTTTTCACAGTCATGTACACAATTGTGTATATAGCGTCATAAAGGTCAAGAAACAGGAAAAAGTCTTTCAAGTGTAAAATTTGTAGTAGCAGTTATGATCCTTGGTCATGCAGAGCGGCACTTCACATTTCTTGCAAAAAACTTTTGATCTTCCTTTGCAACCTTCATACTTGCATCTAGAAGGAAGCGTTTGGTCCCGAGCTTCTGGCCAATGATCCGTTCCATCGTAGCGTGCATCCGAGCAAAGCCGTGGAATGCGGGCTTTCCTCTCCTCAGGAACATCCGCCGGTTCGACTTCGTAGGAAGGCCTTCCACGCTTTCTTGTGTTTGGTACGCTGCTAATGAGAGCCTCAGCGATTTGCAGACGGAAGTGCAGAAGATCAAGCAGCTTTGATTGCTGTGTGTGTGCATTCTCACGCAAATACTCCATCCAAGCATTACAGACAGCTAGGTCTACAAAATGGAATATCGCCCTCAGCGTCCATTTTTTGACCTGATATTGGTGCGGTACAAGCTCAAAAGAAAGTCCATCTTGTCCACGCTTCCCATACTTCGATTGTACTTGGCAATGACCTCCGGCTGCTTCACTAATATGTGTTCACGCTTAGTTTTGTCCCACCTTCTGACATCCTCTTCATTACAAATGCCAACAAAGTTGGACGCGACCGACACATCATTGTTGTCTTTCCAGATCACTACTACAACATCATCACTTGTGACGTATTCAGCAGAGTATTCTCGCAGCTTTTTGTTCATCACCTTTTTGGATTCAAGAGGGCACTTTCCCAGCCTGTTTTTTCGCACAGTTCCAGCTGCCAAAATTCTGTGCTCTCGTAGCTGGCGAAGGAGAGGCACTGATGTAAAGTAGTTATCAAAGTAAAGTTGATAATTGCATCCATAAGAAATTCTTTTAGATAGATGAAAGACAACACCAGAACAAAGACCGTATTCTTTTTTCAGGTCGGCAGGAATCGTGTTTTCCCCCTGGTATATCGCAAAGTCGTAGAGTAAACCACTGCTACCACACAGAGCAAACACTTTTATGCCCCAGAGAGATGGCTTGCCTTTCACATACTGCTTTATTGAAAGCTGGCCTTTAAAAGGGGTCATTTGCTCGTCGAGTGAGCATTCCTGTTCAAGAGGCAGCTTCAAGCATCGCTTTCGTATGAGCCTTAGAAATGGACGCCCTTTCCACAGGCGATCTTTCCTGTCAAGTCCAGAATCTTCTAGAACAATGTGAAGATTATTTCGAAGCTTGAAAAAGCGCTTCTCCGTCATAGTTTTGCTGATGAGAGGAACCTTAATCATTGGGTTCCAATACAGCCTTACCCGAGGTAAGTGAACGACGCCCATCAGGATATGCATACCAAACAGCTTTCTCATTTCAGTGGCTGTGGTATTCACATTATGCAAAGTTGTTTTCACACTATATTGATTCGTGTGTTCTGCTATTACTCTGAAAATGGACTCGGGTCCGTACCTCAAAAAGTGCGTGTATGGCGTACAAGTTTCAACCGCCTCCGGTGGGCACTCGTTGTGACCGCTGAAGTCGATGTCTGATGAGGGCCCGTAAACTTTCTTTTTCCACTGAAAGTTCTTCGGTACGTTGTCTTCAACACGTATTTCTTTCAATGGAGATCTGTCGCCCCCGTCTTCGCCTTTAGTGGAACTCGGCGTGTCACAATTTTCCCGTGGAACATCTTGTTGTTGTTGTTGTTGTTGTTGTTGTTGTTGTTGTTGTTGTTGTTGTTGTTGTTCTCCTATTGTTAGTGGCGCATACCAACTGTGGGGGATTGGCCACGAATCGAGTGGCTTTCAAATTTACTGTTCAGATTTAGAATGATGGAGGTATAACAGAAAGATTACCGATAGGCTAGGCAACTGTGGTGCTTGATGTAATGCATACAAATATTTACATAAATAAATTTATTCTTAGAATAGAGCAATAATCTGATTTTATACGTATATAATTATGTGGACATGTTAGGATAATGAAACTGGTTAATTAGTCAACCTACTAGTTTCATCAATATAGTCCCGGACGGCCGCGCATACTGTCTCATTAGAGAAACCAGAAATGGAAGCTCCAAAAGACAAAATGACAGGCAGAGATAAGTCCATACCAATACCACGCAAAGGTATTTCTAATAGGATTTTTCAAAATGTGTTCAACCGCCTGCAGGTCAAAAAGAAATGGTCTATTGGTTCCAGTGCATCACAAAACACGCACAGTGGCAGAGGAGCCCGAGCAGACCTGAGTTTATAGAAATTTAGATTTGGTACCCGGCAGCGGAGCCTTGTGATAGCTACTTCATGTTTACGAGTGCGGCAAAAGTCTCTTCGCCAGGGATATAATAAATGGCAATATTCTGTAGAGTTTGTTAGTGCTGAACCTTTAAAGACTTGCATAAGCGTACGTCTGCGGAATCGAGCAGCAGTCACATAAGCGGATGGTGGACAGTGCGGTAGAATCGGTTCGCTAATTGACGACTTGGCTAAGTAATCGGCTATTTCATTTCGAAATAAACTTTTATGCCTAGGCACTCAAACTAATCGTACTTTTCTCAAATGCGCAGGCAATAGTGCACGGAACACCTTTGTGACTTGATTATCAGCACCAACAGAAAGTGCCGCACAGAGAGACAGGAAATCTGTTACTATGACAGATGATGTAATTGATGTATCTAACTTGCGTAAGGAGAGCACTACAGCCAGAAATTCAGCCACAAAAATGGGTATGAAATTGAGTAGTCGAAGGGAATAAATCCAATCTAAAATCGGGCTGAGGATACCAACCCCTGACTTTTCATCGTATTGCGATGCGCCTGCAGCAATAATAACGTTCGTTGTAATACGGCGCAGGTGATCTTGTAGTAAGCCATCCAAAATATTATGAGGAAGTAATTTGGCATTATTAGGAAAAATATCGTCAAACTGAATTTCCACAGGTATGAATTATCACGACTCAGCATGTACGTACGTATAGAGGCACCAGTAAATTATGCTCGAATATAATTTGTGGGGTTTGAAATTGCGGCCACCCGGCACTAAAACGATCCCGGAGTGGAAATAAAGGCTATTTCAATATGTCGTAATAGTGATTCATAAATTCTTAAGATTGTTTGAACAGTCAGATGGTGAATTATACAAGAAAGCGGAGAGACCCTCGATTCGAGATAAAACACATAGTTAGCAATTGTTTTGCGCAGGCCAAGACATAAGCGCAAAGATTCTATTTCCAGAAGAATTAGAGGCCGCTACTTGTAAGCTGGAACTCCAGAGGAAAGTACACAACCGAATTCCAAAATGGGAGAAACGTACATGCGACATATCATTACCAATGTGTTTTTTCTCATACATTTGCGGTAGTTGCTTAGCCTACGTAATATGCCAATGGCCCGCGCACCATTTGCGGTGATATATTCGATATGAGGTCGCCAGTTAGGAGATGTGTGATAAATTACTCCAAGGTATTTAACAGATTCCACCTATGGTATATCCTCATGATTGTAAGACAGAGAAATGTGCACAGTGTATTGTAGCGCGATAACAGGGAGGGCACATTTACTCGGATTAAGTAGAAATCCGTTGCCATCGAGCCAGCTCTCTAATATATTAATGTAAGTCTGCAGCGGTTCATATAAGGTCTGAATGTTATCTGCCATTGCAAAAAAACGCGATATCGTCTGCATAAACATTTGTTATATTCTGTTTACGTGGAATAGTGCTCATTAGTAAATTAAATAGCACTGGGGACAGCACTGAGCCTTGCGGTACTCCCCTCGTTTGGGTATGAGTAGATGATGAAAACCCATCTTTAAAACAATAAAACTTCCTGTCTGCAAGAAAATTATGAACCCACTATTTATGATGAAAAATCAAGGTATTCTAATCGATCTGTCAAAATACAGTGCTCCATGGTATCATATGCTTTAGCTATGTCTAAGGTAACGAAAGCTGCACATTTTTATGTAGTCGAGATAATTGAAGCCGACTTTGTAAATCGACGTGGAGATCCAAAATTGAATAGTCACCTCTGAACCCAATTTTACAGGGGCTTGGAATCGACCTCCCAGTAATAAGTTCATTATTCCTATATTGATGATTATCTCGACAAATTTCACTAAGTTTGATGTCAGTGTGATTGACCTTATGTTATCCAACATGTATGCTTCATTTTCATTTTTGAGCAACAATATAATTTTGGCAAGTTTCTAATTTAGAGGTATTGATGCGCTCCCTAACGAATAATTCACTAGTTCTAGCAAAAGATTAGGTGACTCCTGGAGTAAACTTTTCAACATAGAGTTCGTAATCCCATCTGGTCCGGCAGCCGTCCTCGGTAAGCATAATACTGTGTGATTCAATTCAGCTAAAGAAACTTGGAAAATCATGCAAGTTTACCAGAACGGACTGAATAGCCAAAAAAATTCCCAGTGAAGCGGCGTTCTAAACCTTGCGCTATGTTTTCTAGAAAGGTGTTCATTTCTACCGGCGTAAAGACACATGACTGCAACGTTAAAGGTGCTAGCAGTACTTTTCTTGTCCGAAGATAAGCGAACAAAGCACGCTTATTTTTTTATTTAGAAGATAATCAAAATGTCTACTGTCGTATACTTCTTTCGCACGGTTCACTGCACGCCTAAATACGCCAGCAAGGAATTGATAGTCCTTCCAGTTTGTTGAGCTTTGAGTATGAAGAGGTTTTTTCCAAACGGCTTTTCGTCTTCTATAATCGCGCGTACACTCATGGTTCCACCAACGAGAGGAGGATCGTTTAGTGGAGAGAATAGAAAATTCGGAATTTCCGCTAGATCCCTCCAGCATTGATCTCCTTAGTACTGGCATTTCCAAGCTTAGAAATGGCAGAACGGAGGCAGGCTTGTAATTTGCTATGATTAATGTATGTGCGTTTTGGCTGATCTAAAGGTACTGTTGGACAAGTAATATCAAAAACTACAGAAAGATGGTCGCTGTTAGTTGCTTAATACGGAACAGCCCATGACAAAAGCTTGATTGCATCGCAGCAAAACGTTAAATCTAATACTGAGCAAGTCTGACCTCAGACTAATGTTACATGGTCTTTATTCAGACACGAGAGGTTGTGATCAATAGTCCATTCCCACAGTCACCTACCACGAGAATCTGATTTATTGAAATGTAGAGTTTAACGTCCCAAAACCATCATATGATTATGAGAGACGCTACCACAAGAATCTGTCCTTAAGCCCCAAGACAAATGATGTGAATTAAAGTCTCCTGTGAGTACAATTTCCTTTCTACATGCTACCAAAACACTGTCAAGATAGCGCGTGCTTTGCACAGCGGAGGGGAAGTAACAATTTACAATTGAAAAATGATGGTATCCGGGGAGACACAAGTCTAATGCTAATAATTCACAATCCAAGTCTAACACTCTGAAAAACATTTTCGCCCTATGGCATAATTTACTTGATACAAGGATCATTAAACCACCACCACGTGATGGGCGATCTAATCGAAAAGAACGAAAACCTGCAAGATGGAAATTTTTATCTGGTGTGAGCCAACTTTTTTGGAGAAATACAATATCAAGGTTAAAATATTGCAAAAGTATAGTAAGTCTGTTGAGACTGAGAATATAGAACGGCAGTTCCACTGTAGTACCCTCAACTCACCTATGGTGTTGGGCGCCCCGCCAATGTGGTCTAGTAGATAAGGTACTCGGCTGCTGACCCGGAGGTCACGGGTTCGAATCCCGGCTGTGGCGGCTGCATTTCCGATGGAGGCGGAAATGTTGTAGGCCCGTGTGCTCAGATTTGGGTGCACGGTAAAGAACCACAGGTGGTCAAAATTTCCAGAGCCCTCCACTACGGCGTCTCTCATAATCAAATTGTGGTTTTGGGACGTAAAACCCCACAAATCAATCAATCAATTATGGTGTTGGGCGCACCGCAGATTCGCATGCCGCACCCTTGTTAGCATCTTTACGCGAAATATCAGATTCATTCCGTTTAGTTTTGGACTTGAGATCGGTGAAGATAGGGGATCTCGTACGTTTATTAGTTCGCATATCGAGTTCCATACCGGTTGCAGCACTTGTGCTCGGCTGAGGCTTATGTCGCTCCAAGTTCACCTGTATTTCTGACTGCTCAGCCTTGTCTGCAGATGCAGAAAGTTCATCGAACACTACATTGCGTAGCTGAGTGGCATCGCTGGTATGTCTGATACTGCAGGTTCTGTACTAGTCTGTACTTTTTGCCCAATCTGATTTGAAAGAATTCGCACCAAACAGTCGGAAAGGTTAGATATCAGTTTATCCATTGCTTTACTTACTGCCTTTTCCACAGCAGTCTCAATAGTCTGTGATAGATTTCAGTCAATACTGGAAGTGTAGCGCGCTTTAATGCCAGAGTATCCAAAAGCCATCTCTCTATGTCAATGGCTTCCCTTCGAGAAAGCGGCGGTGGTCAATAACATCTAGGATTTGAACCTCCTGGGAACGAGCGGAACAGTCAGAGTTGTCAGGGTAGTGACTCCCCCTACAGAGACAACACATTTCCGCTGTTGCAGTAGACTTGTTTGAAGGATGGCTCTCTCCGCAAGAGCTACAACGAACGTTTGATATACATCCCCCGTACTGTGGCCGAATCTCCAGCAGTTTTTGCACTGAATCGGA